TCTTGACTTGTTAGTATAACTTTAAATAATGTCTGTATTTGCATAAATGTATGCTATATTGTCGCAAAACGGTTTTGATTAGCCAGAGAATGTGGCATGAGTACAAACATAATAGGTTATCAATTATTGCATGCCTACCACAATGTAGAGCTTACCGGTAACATATAGACAGTGCCTATATATGCAATCAGTACCAACGCAGACATATCACAGCAAAGCGTCAAAAATTATAACCTTTACTGTAATTGGCTTACAAGCCGCATCAGAACAACAGTGATAAGGAAGAAGGATTTTTTTTTGGATGCTAAATGAGGAATTCAACCTATGCTTCAAATCTTCTAAACCACAAAATTAGAAAAAGAAGAAGCAAGAAACCTAGAATGAGCAGTGTCACGACTACTCGGTAAAAAGGGATAATTAGCTTTGATATCTAGAGCATCAAACGCTGGTTTATTCCCGCAGTACTTTGCTCTGCAGTCCTATCAGGAGTCTAGTTCACTGAATACTTTATTTGAGCTGGTTGGCTGCCAACTGGTTGTTGAGCATAAATTGCTACAACTGACTTGCTGCTACTGATCGCTCGAAGAACAGTAGATGTAGAATTTTCATAGGCTTCGTGTCATCCATACAAAAAAAAAAACGTTTACAAATTAATTAATATGTCAAATTTTTCAATGCAAATGAAGGGTTTTTTGGGAAGAGAAATAAACTTAATGAAGGGCAGTTTCATAAAGTTGTTCGTAAAGCAAAATTTGGCGGTTTTTTAAATTGATACCATTGTTTTTTTCTCAATATTCACTGTCATAATATCAACAAATTTCGCCTAATTACAGTGCTGGCAGTAACTTTGCTTTTGAAAGAATGCAGAACCCCGCTATGATTCAAACAAATGTTCCTGAAATTTGACATTGATGTATATCTAGCAATAATTTAGTGAGTAAAGTCTGGTTTAGAAAACTAAAAGTAAACTTTTAGTTTTGAACAAGGGAAGAAATAAAACAGTCCTTATCGAAATGCTGCTTTGATTGTACGCACTATTTGCTTTCGTTTCTTTTGATTGTCTCCGAAAAATTTCCTTAAGTTAAATGCCTCAAATTCTGGAAAGTGGTCGGAGGTTGCGGTTTTTCACTTTAAAATATGTTCATCTCCGCATTTTTTAAATGTGATAAAGTCGTGATGTTGACTCTCCCATGAAGACATGCACAGTTGTTTAGCTGATCCTAAAATCAACGAAAGCTGTACACCGGTTGTAAAATTATGGACAGCGGTTGGACAGACACATAACCATCAAGTGCAGGCTCAACAAGCAAAACTCGTGGCGGAGTGTGGCTTTGTCTCTAAAAAAGAAGTTCTCACGTAAAGCCTTCGAATGCTGTCCCAAGCATTTTACTTTCCCTCACGGGAGTTTCAGAGACAGAGGTTGGAGGGGTGTTATTCTGCTTGTGTTGGTTTTTTCTAGCAGTTTTCGGCTTAATCAAGTCGGGGAAAGTTAACCATTGTTATGTTAGATTAGAGATAACTCCTAAATTATGTCATATTCGTTCCACTGCGGAGCTTCCCAATAAAGCGAGATGTTCAGGAAAGAAAACGTCCGAGTGCTTCCTCATTTTTTTTCGCAAATGATATTTTCTGCAGTTCAGATCTTCACGAACGCTAAGACAACCTCTGGAGCCGCAAAGGGTTCTTTTGCTAAATCACATCACAGTCTTCACTAAAACTGGGTGAAATAGGGCGTTTTTTCAATTGCGTTCGATTATGGCCAGCTCCTTGTCACCACCCGCAATTTATCAACTTAATGTATCTGTTACTTTTACTAAGAAAAAAGATATCTATCTAGATATCTTAAAATCTTTACGGAGCTTAGGTTCATTGTGATAATGCTGATTTAATGAAGTGGTGTGTACACCATCTGCGAATGCGTTAAACTTTGTTCACAATACTGGGAAACATTTTAACGGTATTCAAATTTGAATTTCACCAACTGGAGCGGCATATTTAGCATTTGAACAACCAGTGCATATGCCCGCTTGAGTGCAATGTCCATTAGTTGATCTAGACACAATGGCGAAAAAGATGGTGTTCCAGAGACCAATATGGAATTCGGATTAAGGATTTCTGCTATAAACCTTGTTCAGCCGTTTACGGCAAGCGCATTTGAGCTTGCAGTCCTTATAAGTTGAAATGTTGTGTTGTTTGTATTGCGTTCTATGCAAATTTTAAGTATTTAAGTATCTAGATCATTTTCCTTTCTAGTGATGCAACTCACTATAGCGATCTCTATGAAAGATATGTCAGTGCTCGTATGAGGTGCATTCAGAGATGCCGGCATCGATGATATTGCTAGTCAAAAAGCAAATTGTCCATCTTCTCCTAATCCTTCCACAAATATTTCTGATACTCTTCGAGTGTTATTATTCTAAAAGATAGATAACAGCTGAGTACTGTTCCTGGAAAAATGTTAAGTTCCTAGAGTTAAACTTTGAAACTAGTTTTGTGGCTGCGCGAACTTACTGGGTTACTTACATATTATAAGTAAGGGTCATACTATACCGATACTGACGCTATTCGCCTCTTCGCACGTTGCACTCATGGTTCTATATGTTCGATTTTTGACGTCAGACGCTTCTGCCGCCACTAGTCGGCCTTCTCGTAGTGGCTTTTCGCCCTTAGACGTGTTTTCTTATATGTCGCTTTTTTACTCACGTTGCTCGTATGCAGCGTTGAGCTGAGATTTGCCTGTGAGCGTAAAAGTAACAAATAGCAAGAGGAGCAGTCTTCTCAAAAGTTTGCATTAACCATAATTAGGTTCTTGATACGGGAAACATCATCAAGACCGGTGCAGGACACTCTTCGGACCAAAAGGACACTTCAGCGACTCGACATGGAGATTGTCTCATACTCTGCACCTACAACGCCAGAGAGTCTCCACCTACGCCGATCTCCACGCCTTTTTCGACGCTGCGGTATGCACCAACTATCACGTAATCGCCCTGCAGGAAACAAAGTCTAGGAAGACAAGCGTGAGACAGCTGAGTGGCACCTCATCTCGTGGGGAATTTGTCTATTCGCACGAGATCCTATCACCTCGTCTGGCTATTCTTCGACTCCTTCCTCAGCATGAAAAAACCATCTCCATCATCCACTGCTACTCTTCAAAATCAACAGCTGATAACTTGGGGAATTGCTTTTTATGATTATTTGAAGGAAGACATCCGTAAAGAAAATTTCTTCTGCAAATTCGCCTTGGATGACTTCAATGCGAAAATCTGGATGCCAGGAGAAGGGGAGGATAGGATTGGGAGATTCGGATCAGGACTTTGGAATGAAAATGGTAGCCGTCTTGTTGGGCTCTTATCCGCCGCATGACTTTTTTATGACAAATCTATCTTCATAAAGAAAGAACAACGGTGGTGGATATGGGAATCAAAGTTACTACTTATGCGGAGATCGACCATTTTCTTACCAACCGAAGGTGGAGCCTACTGGAAGTCTAGTGGAACCATCCTTTAGCAGTAAGATCGCCGTCTCCTTCGAGCAAAAGTACGATTTAGCTGAGAGCTGGAAAAGAAGATTTGTCACCGTGTTGAAGGAGAGAAGTCTTATGAGACGGCGTAAGGTTGGAGGAGCTCCTTACCACTTGCGACTCATCCATCGCAGAGGACCCAACGAAGGACTTCGACCTGTTTTCCAGAGAACTGAGAGCCTGTGCTGGAAGTGCCTTAATGCCTCGAACATAGCTTGAAACGAATTTTGAATATCTCCAAGGATCTGTCAGAGAGGAGAGCACTGAGGCTGGATCCAACTGCATCACATCTCTAGCGACTGATAGCTAATACCAGTTGCAGGACAGCTTTGCAAGAAGATCTTCGAAAGTACAAGCAATCAGAATTTTTGCAAGCAGTACAGGGTACAGATGTTTCAGAATGTACCGCAGAGGCCTTCTTGACTACCGTGTTCTGCAGACAACATTATTAGTTGAAGACGGGATCGCACATTTTCTCAACAAAAGATGGAATCGATCACAACGAGATTATGCACCAATCTTCTCCGTTCGTCAACCCCTTGTCAAACACCGTTATTTCCACTGGAGACATACCACCACGGCTTCTATCTGCTGAAGTACGCGCAACAAACCAGACCATGGAGGCAGCCGCGACTCTGGGATCGGAAACATTTCGGTCGACCCTCTTACGAGCTGGAGGACATCGCCTACACGAGATACTTGCGGAACATCTAACGTCTTACAAAAGGAGTTTCCCAACCAGTGGAGAGCCTCCCAACAATCATTCTTCATAAGGAGGACGATAGGTAGGATCTTCGAAACTACCGTTCAATATACTGAGCGTGCTTTACAGCTCTTCACGATGATTTTTACTCATATATCGAGGACATTGGATGAAACCTAATCTGTAGAACAAGCTAAATTCGCATGGAATGCTGGCTGGGTCACATCTAGACGGTTTCGAGAACTACCGAGGTTTGAGAGTGTACCGCCTACCTCTTGTCCTAATCTTCGTCGACTAGGAAAAACCGTTTGACACCTTCGAGACTAATGTCATTCTGTCAGCGCTTGTCGACTAAGGAGTAGACCCATCTTAAAGAAATTGGCCGAAACAAGAACTGCTCTACAACGGTACAGCTTTTCCATCGTCTCTTAGTATACCAATTTCCAAGGAGGTTCGACAAGGCGAGACTATGTCGCCAAAAATGTTTGCCGCCGCCTTGCAGTGGTTGATGAAATCATTGGATTTGGACAAGAGAGATATACAAGTGATAGGAGATTCCTCTCTAATTTTCGTTTTGCGGACGACATTGTTCTCTTCTTGAGGAATGTCACTGAAACAGAGATGATGTTGAGAGAATTAAAAAAGAAGCAGATAATGCTGCGAATCGACAGGAAGAAGACTCACTCTATGAAGTACGCTTTTTGGGAGGATCAGGAAATGGAATGACAAGGCTTTTTAATCGCGGCGACATCTTGTTACGTATATTCGATGAACATGGAGAACGGTGTGAAGAGTGAACAGGAGGCGAAGAACAGCTTGGGCCGCCTTCGGGCCCCTAAAGGAAGCCACAGCCCAACTGACGGACTCAGAGCTCCGAGCCAACTGTTTGATTCAACCATTCTCCCTGCGTTCCGCTACGCAGCAGAGACATGGCCTGATACTTGGCTACGTCAAAGGCACTCTAAACAACCCACAGAGCGCTGGAACGAAGTCTTTAGAATACAACGAATGCACTCAACATCTCGACGGACTTCGCAGTTTACATATGAAATCAATCTCGTCTTCGCGATCCAGCGGAATAGTCTCTAAGGCAAAACATCGGGACTGGTCATGCAAAGAGAAGGACAGACGACAGATGGACACTCTGGAATGGATTCCTCGCGGAAGTAAAAGGTCCTCGAGGGAGGCCAAGGTAGGCTGACGTGTTCATTGCACGGTTGGATCAACTGAATTCCAGCGGGTAACGAGTGATGGATCTGGACCTCGCGACGTTGGCGCCGCAGAATACCAACATCGATGTCACTAACGAGAGTCAGAAATGGATGATAACAATGCTGGGGCCTGCTCGATGAGTGAAGACAGGCCACCTACGTATCTTAGTAAGTGAGTATCTTTCCTGCATGAATCAGGGTCAAGGCAAATCGGAACGAGAAATCTGTGGCGTAATTTGACAACAATGGTATAGTCAAAGTGGACAGACTAGAAGTGTTCGAGGCATCACTCTTTTTGAATGTGTCAATTTTGAAAGACTTGTATATTTCGCGTTTTGTGTAATTGCAAGATAATTGATAAAACATTTCGGGGTAAGTATGGCGTTGGTTATAACGATTGCATTTTGCATTTTTACCCTCTTCCTGTCCAGTTCAATGCGATTTCCTCTACGTTCCTCCTCC